TTTTTTTTTTTTTTTTTTTTTTTGGTCTTTGTGAAAATTTTATTAAATGTCTGTACAGGACAACATCCAGCCCAACATCCAGCCTCCAACATGTGCTGCCAAGATCCTGTTATGCTGTAGGCACTGGCTGGGGCATGGCAGGTGCCTCTGGCTTCCCACCCTTCTGCTCTGAGATGGGGGTGTAGGCAAGATTTCGTCTTTAGGTTCCACAGTGCTCACGTTATCAGGCAGAGGCTTCTTGGGGCCAGTCTTACCACTTGGGTCCCAGGGCAGCATGATCCTCACTTTGATGCCCAGCACACTTCATCTCAGGAGCACATGGTGCACAGCAGTGTCAACATAGTAGTTAACAGGTCTCCGCTGTGGATCATCAGCCCATCCACAAACTTCATGGACTTGGCCATCTATCCTCGGAGGTTCCCAGACACCACAACCTGGCAGGCCCTGGTCCCACTCTCCGTAACGAACCTAAGCACACCATAGGAGGCCCTTTGCACAGCAAGCCCTCCTAGGTGTTTGTAATGAAGAGACTCTCTGTGGCCGCCATTTTGCATAAAGCTCTACGCTGCCCTCAAGGAAGCTGAACCTCTTCTAGACTATAGTAGTCAACTCTGATCCAACGACCCTTCTCACTGAGAACATTTCGTGTTCTGGTGGCTAAAATGATGATTTCTGTTCTGCTTGGTGTAACCCTGACTTCAGCTCCAAAGTAGCCATCTGCAGCCAGTTCCCAAGTGAGAAACTCATTCAGTTCAGCTCTGAAGATGCCATTGGCCACAAACTTCCTCTTCTTGGGAACCTGTACAGCCATCTTGCCGCCCTACACTGCTCCGCACCACCAAAAGGAAAGGTAGACTCAACCTCTTAATGTGGGGCATGGCAAGATGCTTGAAGAGTATATAGAACTAGAAGTACTGTTGGATTTATTATAAAAATATAATCTGCCACAAAGTGAACCATATTTAGGCCTTTTAAAAATCTCTGTTACAAATAATTTAAAATATCTTGTTCTACGTTTTAGTAAATAAAAGTTTCATTTTCAAAGTTAATTTTTCTAGGATAAAGCATCATATTTGTTCAAAATAGCAAAAGTGATGTCAGCATCTTCAGGGCTCATCAAAAAGAAAAATATCTTCTCAGAGATTTCTGCTGTGGGATGTTTTGTATGTCCTGTGGGAGCCTGTTCTTCGGTTCCTCGTGGTTTTACCCAGCAGGTCCGCATAGAGGATGATTGGGACCATGGGCCTGAGTGCAGGTGTCTGAGATGATCTGCACTTGGCTGTGCTGGGGGATGGTCTGTATGTCAAGTTGCTCTGATTGGTCAATAAATAAAACCTGATTGGCCGTGGCTAGGCAGGAAGTATAGGCGGGACTAACAGGAGAAATAAAAGAACAGGAAGGCAGGAGTCACTGCCAGCCGCCCACCAGGACAAGCAGCATGTGAAAATGCTGGTAAGCCACGAGCCATGTGGCAAGGTATAGATTTATGGAAATGGATTAATTTAAGCTATAAGAACAGTAACCAAGAAGCCTGCCATGGCCATACAGTTTGAAGCAATATAAGTCTCTGTGTTTACTTGGTTGGGTCTGAGCGGCTGTGGGGCTGGCGGGTGAGAGAGATTTGTGACTGTGGGCAAGGCAGGAAAACTCGAGCTACAGATTTCTACTCTCAAAAACACAGAATCCCTGACTTTCATGACTGGCCTTTATGTTGTTGGGTTTTTGTTTTTTGTTTTTAACTCTTTTGCTCTTTTTGAGGGGGCTTGCCACCCAGCTCTCAAATAATACATGGAGGCTCTTTCGTTCATTTGTCCCCTCCCTCCCTTCCTTCCTTCCTTCCTTCCTTCCTTCCTTCCTTCCTTCCTTCCTTCCTTCCTTCCTTCCTTCCTT